CTGTAACAAAGATGCTGACGGCGTCTATGCTTAAGCCGGGGATTAGGTCGGTGATTAAAAGGAAAGAAAGGGATTCTTTCCAGGTAGCCTTGATAAAGGCAGGTAGAATTTGCTCCTTGCACTACACTTTCACGAAACACGTGTGCTCTGGTCGGCTGCCCGCTAGGAACTGATTTTTTTTGAGTTGAGATAAATTAAGTATCGGAACGTTAAGCCCGATACACGTATTACTTTCATTAAAACCATAAAAAATTTAATTAAAACGTTTAACTTTAACACAGTATAATACAAATCAGTGAGATCATAGAACAATGATTGCCGATTACAAATTTGTTTGGACATGTCCTAAGAACGCGGTCGCATTTGTGTACATCTGTATAATCTGTTTTATGTTATAAATTCGCTATGAATTTCTCCTGCATTGGTAGTTTTAGTAAAATAGTTTCCAAATTCATTTCAAACAGAGTAGTGATTGTTTTGCATGTCAATAAGCAAAAAATAATTTCCCCAAGAAATTTAATACCCTGCATCCTTAGACAAAGAAACAATCACTTCTTTTTAATTTTGCTCAAAGTCAGAAACCTTCATCTCCATAAAAATTTACCTATAAGAAGTGTATGTCCTTACTGATGTGTATACGACAATAAAATGATAAAGGAGGAACAAAAACAGCAACTTTTACTTTAACGAACAAGTGATAATAAAAAAGAATAAAGCTCTGAATTCAACTGAACTGATTTTATTCCAACTCCGGGTGTCAGTTCACTTGAGCTTAAGAGTCATTCTACACGACAGCCGTTCCGTGGTACACGTCGTGTGAAATTTGAGCGAATACGCCTATCTCTATTTTTTTATTCATGTGATGGGTTAGTGGAAATACGGTCTGTTTATTTATATTATTTATTCCTGCGCTAGTTCCCAGTGGAACTGTGAAAAATAAATTGCATAAAACAAAGCCCCAGAACAGAGATTTATATAATAGAATTAGACAAGCATGTTGACAAATAACACCACATCAGTTGAGTTGAGAGTTTATTAGAAATAAGAGGAGACAAATTGAACAGTGCGTACCAAATGATGTGGACTAATAGACAGTTAATATTTAAATTTTATTCGGTTGTGAAACTCATTTCTGGTATAATAAAATATGTATCTTATTGTAAATACACTGTATCAGTGAAATCAATGAAACTGCATAGATATACCGTTAATAAAATTATGAAAAAATTCGTAGACAATATTTTCCACCGCTAATACAGGAAACTCGGCAGTAAGTGAAATTTTTCAGAGTTTGCACTTATTTTGTGAACACCCTGTAAAAGCTATAATTATGAAACTTTGTATTTAGAATTTTGAGATGTGATCAAATCGAAAATGCTATCCACTTCTTTCTTAAAAAAAATGCTTTTTTAAATTTTTGACGGTCTTTTGTTACAGTAGGCTGTAGAAAACATCACAAAATATATCAAAGAGTAGGCCTTTTCAAGTACATAAAAAAAATAATTTTGGAAATCGGCCAACGCCATAAATACAAAGGTGTTCCGACTTCAAGTGAAACACACTGTATAAAACAATTTTTTTCAATTGAATTGAACATAAAAAAAGTGAATTTGAACAGATTTAATAAAAAAAAAGCATTTATTAAAAAAAAAAATTAATATCAAAATATCTATACTTAACATTTCTAAAAGGTCATAAAATACAATAAAAATCCTAAATTAATGTCAGGCGAGATCCTTTTTCAGTGCGTAATACACGTCGTCCACACTGACGTTTAAAATAAGCTTCTGGGTAATATCATTACATTTTGGATCAGTCAATATAAGTCTACAAGCGCTTAACCGAGACACTGCCGATAAAGCTATCGTACTGGACACCATTTTAAAACCTTCGATAGCCGCACATGAGACGAGCATTTTAAAGACATCGGAGAATGTCGTCTCTTCCACACCAGTCCGCTCCACCTAAAAATAAAAATCGTATTCATGCCTTTTAATCATTTCCTAAATTAACTGTACCAGAAAGCGAAGCGAAAGCTTAAAAAAATTAATTTCATTTTAAATTCTCACCTCGGCAACGATGGACTGTAAAATCAACTGTTCGAGCCTGGAACAGCACTTGATAGCCCTAACTTTGGGCTGCGTGATCATGCTAGCCACCGCCTTATTCACGTGGTTCATGCTCACTAACTGAACGCTACTCTCCGACTCGGCGATTTCCGCCGCCCTCCTACATATATCCAATGCTCTCCTCGCGTCTCCAGACACCGACGCGACTTTCCTAGAAGTAAAATTGCACATATCAACTCAAAACACTACAAACTCCTTAAGAAAGCTCTCATTTTACCTGGCGACCAACTGGATAGCATCGGGATTGAAGCATTCCGTTCCAGAGAGGCGTTTTATCACGATTTCTTGCAACTGACCGTGCGTGTAGGCTTGAAACGTCAACCGAGTCAAACCCAGCCGACTCGCCACTCTATTAACGAGTAATCTTTCGGGTAGGTCCATCGTATTGGCTATGGTTATAATGATCAGTTGGTTTTTCGCCTTGCTGGGCCAGTCCAGGAGGTTGTACACGACGTCTTGTCTTCTCGTGTACAAAACGTCCAGCTACAAATAGGGATTATTAATTACGTCATCGACGACGTGTATACTTTTTTTTTACCTCATCGACCAACATAACAGTAGGCACCATTTTTTTGGATTTGGTAAATTTTTCCTCCAGTATACTCTGCGCTTGTTCCCAATGGACGGTTTTTCCAGAAAGTTGTTTTAAAATCTGTAAATAATAATTAAATGCAACAGGAAAGCTTAAGCGTTTAACTGATTTGTTTGCAAGCAAACCACATTCCAATAAACATTATAAAAAAATGGCACAAAGGAAAAGAGGTAATAAAAGATAAAAAACAGTAAAAAAATATACATCAGTTATAATAAAGCTAAAGAAACAAAATAAAGTAAATTTACCTCTACATAAGCCTGCTTAGGTTCAGTCAGTCTCATTCCGTTTATGCTTACGAACACGAATTTTGGAATATCCTTGTTTAGCTGTAAATCACTTATTACAGACGTCACAGTTGCTGTTTTACCCGTACCCGGTACACCGGATATATAGATGCAACTAAAATAAAAATTCAGTCAATACTTTTACAACTTTTACAGTTTCTTGTATTTCCTGAAGACACAAAAAGTTGTTAAGACATCTTGGACTCGATTTATTACAGAAATTTGAACACCGAAAATCTCTATATATTTTCCATTTTTAGTTGATTTTTGTAACTTTTTATACATCAAAACTTTAAATTAGATTAATTTTACAATTTTTGACTTAGTATGAAGATATTAGGATACAGTTTCGCTGTATTCAATATTTCTTGAAAATCAAACTTGAGACATTTGAACTACTGTTTATTTATCTCCTCAGTAGTTATTGTTTTTATTCATAAAAACTATCAAGGTCTAAATAAAAGATGTGAATCAGGAACTAATGGAAAAGTACATTTTGTAAAAAGATGACATCGAGAAAATAGAATGCATCAAAAAAATATCGAGATAATTCTCAAAGATCGAGTTTAAGACATTTGAACTACCTTTTGTCTAACTCTTCAGAATATATAAAAAACACCACAAATTATTTGCACGGAAAGCTATGAAGGCCTAAATAAAGGTTTTGATAACTAATAGAAACAAAACAAACTAACAGAAATGAAAAGCTATTTTATAAAAAAAAAAAAAAGCGAGCCAGAACAAATAATGAAATTTAAGTCTTTTTTATTTTGGGCATACAGTGAACATATTCAAATGTAATTTTTCTATATTCAATATTTCTCGAAAATCAAGCTTGGGACATTTGAACTACTTTTGTTTACCTCTTCAGAAGTTATTGTTTTTATTTATAAAAACTATCAAGGTCTAAATAAAAGTTGTGGATCAGGAACTAATAGAAAAAAGGTGTCGGCGAGAAAATATAATGAATCGAGGTTCTTTTACAGGTTTTACATAGAAACTATCTTTCGATCAGGAACTATAGAAAAAGATTTAAAAAATAACAAAATGAAGTTCTTTTACAGTTTTTGGCTGACTAGGAAAATATTGAGATGTAATTTTGCTGTATATTAAATATTCAAAAATTTATTGTTTTTTTCTTTATAAAAGTCTATTAAAATCTGAATAAAAGTTTTGATCACAAAACTAACACAAATATGAGGAACAATTTTGTAAAAAAAATGAGAATGAGAAAATATCAAATCAAATTTTTTTTAAATTTTTCTAAGTATGAAAATATTGAGATGTAATTTCCTCTATCTTCGATAATTCTCCAAGATTGAGTTGAGACATTTGAACTACCTTTTGTCTAATTGTTCAAAATATACGAAAAACACCACGAGTTATTTGCACGGAAGGCTATCAAGATCTAAATAAAAGTTTTGATAACAAACTAATAGAAACAAAACAAACTAACAGAAATGAAGTCGTTATATAAAAAAAATGAGAGCAAGAACAAATAATGAATTTAGTTTTTTTTTTTATTTTTAACCTAGTATATTCAAATGTAATTTCTCTATGTTCAATATTTCTCGAAAATCGAGCTTGGGACATTTGAACTACTTTTTGTTTATATCTTCAGAAGTTATTGTTTTTTCTTATAAAAACTATCAAGGTCTAAATAAAAGTCGTGGATCAGGAACTAATAGAAAAAAACGCAAAATTTTACAAACCTTTCACCTTTTTTACAAAAAATTGTAAAAAAGGTGACAGGAAGAAAATATAATGAATCAAGGTTCTTTTACAGGTTCTACATAGAAACTATCAAAATCTGAATAAAAATTTCGATCAGGAACTATAGAAAAAGATGTTTCGTAAAAAAATTAGAACGATAAAAAATAAATAATTATTATAAGTTTTTATTTAGTTTTCAGAAATAGTATTAAGATATTAGGATATAATTTTTCTATATTCAAATTCCTTGAAAATAGAGCTTGAGATATTTGATCTATTTTTTTTTATCACCTCCGGGTAAATGAAATCCTCCCAAAAGTTGTCTTTAGATCATAAAAAAAAGCCGTTTTGTAAAAACATGAAAAAGAAAAAATAACAAAATGAAGTTCTTTTACAGTTTTTTACCGACTAGATATCGAGACGTAATTTTGTTATATTATTCAATATTACAAAATTTATTGTTTTTTTCTTCAAAAAAGGCTATTAAGATCTATATAAAGTTTTGATCACAAAACTAACACAAATAAAAGGAACAATTTTGAAAAAAAAAATGAGAGAAAATATAAATCAAATTTTTTTTAAGTGTTTGGCCTAGTATGAAAATATTGAGATGTAATTTCCCCTATCTTCGAAAATTCTCATGGATTGAGACATTTGAACTACCTTTTGTTTAACTCTTCAGAATATACAAAAAACACTCCACAAGTTATTGTTTTTTCTCCATAGAGAGCTATCAAGGTCTAAATAAAATTTTTTATCACAAACTAATAGAAAGGAAACCAACTAGTAATGAAAAGCTTTTTTGTAAAAAAATGAGAGCAGGAACAAATACGAATTTAAGTTTTTTTTAATTTTTGGCCTACTATGGAGATATTTAAATGTAATCTTTCAATATTCAATATTTCTCGAAAATCGAGCTTGGGACATTGGAACTACTTTGTGTATCACGGGACATATTGAAAAAAAAAACCTTAAAAAATGTTATATACTGCATAGAAATAAAGGGAGCTACTGCGTAAAATAAAATGAGCTAGAGAAAAAATAACGAATGAACATAAGGTACAGATTTCACTAAAGGTAATTATTTAAATGACTAACATTTTAAATTCCACTTACCCCCCACAGCCATCGGACAACTTGTCTTCCACAAAATTCAATACGGTATTATATTCTTTATCCCTGCAAGGTAGAGCGTTTGGCACGTACGAAACATGAAGCTGGCTCCTAGCCTTCATTAAAGGGGTCTTATCGCCAGCTACGACGTTACCCCTAGAATGCATCGATGGGGTTATTACTCCCTCTCTGATTAGTTTCGCCCTATTTTTGGGCGTTTTCGGTGTCTGCTTTGGCGTCATATTTCTATTAGTCTTTGGCGTTTTGAAAACAGAACAATCCACGTCGAGCTCTTCCACAGAGTTTGGTTTCTGTCTACGTTTTGGGGTGCTGGGGCTTGCCAAAATAATTCTACAAAGATGTATCAAAGTTAATAAAATAAATGTTGACTTTATTGACTGATTCCCACCTATTTCGATTTTTATTTTTGTCGTTATTTTCGCTCTCCGAGGAATCGGAAAATTCACCGGTATATTTATTTTTGTGCCTCTTCTTTTTAGCGTTGTCAGGAGACGTGTGTTCCTCCAAATCGGCTCTATTTAATCTTATCTTTAAAATAGATCTTCGAATGGATTCGTCAAGGTTGATCCTAGTGAAAAACCGTTGATATTAGTAAATCGTTCTTTGTTAAATTTCTGTTATGGAAAAACATGCATATCAATCAAGAACGATGAGATTTTACAATCGTTTTATGACTGTTCAAAACTCACCTCTTTTTAGGAGTTTTCTCTGTATCCGAATCCGTCACGCTCGTTTCTCTTTTGTTTCTGTCTCGACTAGCTCCTCTCGACGTCGTTAACCTCAACGATCTGCGAACGGAACTCTGAGGGCTCGTATTTGCTTGTGGACTCCAGTGTCCCTCCCGGGATTTTCTTGGTGTTTTTATTTCCCGTTTTTCAGAAATTTCCTGAAAGAGCGGATCTTATTAAAAGTTTTCTACTTTTATTAATAAAAATGTTACACAAGAATTCCACAGTACTAACCTCGTTTGATTTAGTTTTTTTGGGGGTTCCCAATTTTTCCTTAAATTTTTGTGGCGCTTCCGTTTTCCTATTATTACCCGAATCTTCGTAAGAATTAATTCTCTTCCTACCTTTAATAGGCGATATGTAATCTGCGTACGATTTTCTTTGAATCGGTCTAGTCGATTTCCTTTTAATGGGACTTTCAGGCCCCTTTTCCCCTTTTTCTTTGGGGCTGTCGGAGTCATTTAATTTTTCTAGCAGCACAAATGGTTTCGTATTACTCTCAGAAATTCTGAGCTTTAACAGGAAAGGATTGTCAGTATCATCATCGCTTACAATTGAGTAATTCAAAATTGAATCGTTCGTTTCACCAGAGCACGTACCGAAAGATTTGTTTAGGTTCCTTTTGACAGAGTTCCTTTGAACTGGCGAGAAAGTGACATCGGTCGTGGGAGTTTTTATGTTTTTATACCCATTTTTGGGACTTGCTTTCTCCATTTCATCACCTAGACAAACATTTATATTCTCCGAATCGAGTTTCTGTTTCTGTTGCTTCTTAGTGGAACAAGGCTTTCTAAGAGGGCTTTTTGAATTATTCTCACTCAAAATCGTAGATGTGGAGAATATTGGAAACAATCCACTAGTTTTTAAACTATATCGACATAAAAAATATATAGATGAATCTAGCTTATTTTCTTGAATTACGTCAGAGTCATTTTCCTCTGCAAATATCACAAAGCACTTTTTTAAAACTTTATCTGCTTGTACTACGTAATCCTTTGTAATATCTTCAACAATCTTACATAAAAAAAAGATTTATACTCAACTGACAGAGAAATAGAAGCCATTTTAAGACTTACCTCACTATCATAAAAACATGAGCAATCCTCCTTCAATAAAAGTTCTTTTAAATCAGCTGCAAATGAATATTTTCTAACAACTAACTGTACCATTCGAGTCTTATCAATAAATATACAGGATATTTTTGCAACCTCCGTTTTAAGTTCACCATCTATTAATATATAATTTCCTACAGTATAATTGATTCCGTTAAATGTAAATTGCCTGCAAATATGTATAGATAAAGTGAAAATATATCTTTGTAATATTAACTGCTTACCTGTAAAATTCATTGGACGTTTTGTTCTTCTGAAAAAATGCTGGGTAATAACATTCAACTGGAACACGGTCAATCAGTATATTGTTTAAAATATTTTCAGAATGCATTTTTCATTCCTGTATATTTTCTAAAATAAAAATTATGCTAATTATTCTATTAAACTTAAAACACTAATTTAGTCTACCTCAATGATCTATTAAAATTTTCTTTTTGTTTTTAATAAAATATCTTAAAATTCCATCGCAAATTGTACTCGTTCACTAAACTAACCACAAAATAATAAACAACGGGCTTAAAAATGGCAAAATCATAAAATATTTTGGCGGGACCTAACCATAGATCACATAATACAGAAATTATACCAATACCACAGAAACTGTACACTGAGGACCTATAACGTATAGATCTTTAGAACCTTTGCAATTTGTATACATATTCTTTCGATAACAAATTATTGAACTTATCATATAAATCTGATATAAATGTTCATTTTTCACCCTAGATAAATGAGTTTTTCACGTTCAATCATGAAAATGACAGTTCTCAAAAATTGGGGCAGTAGTCCAATATGTATGTAATAAATAATAATACATATATTAAAATTATAAAATGAGGTAGCACGAGTAATGTTACTATAAAAAATTTAAAATAAATTTAATTAAATCGTAACTTAATCATGAAGACTGAAGAAACTCCAGCAGATCCTATATGGACAAATAATGTAGAATTGCTAGCAAACGAGGTATTTGGTACAGTTTTTTATATCTCCTTTAAATTAAATGAACACTTTTCAGGAATGCTTGCCAGTCATCGGTAGTTGTCAGGTCTCTTCCATCTTACAAAATTTAGATGCAAATGACCAAGAAATTAACCACCACAATATGGACTTGATAATCCTACCAGCAAATGATCTCAAACTTCCTAACGTTAATAATTCCTTTAATTCACAAAACAATTACGTTGTGCTGAAAGAAAATGGAAGTGCAACATTTAATACAAAGATAAAAGTGATCAACGCAAATAACACCGAGAAAGCTGTTGAACGCGATAAGAAAAAGAACTTTGAAAATATGTTATATTTTGTATGCAATTTGTGCCCATTTCTCTGTACAAAAGACACAAAGATTACAGAACACTTAGAGAACGCTCATAAAAATAAGACTATTATTAAACTACCTGAATTTAAATGCCCTGCTTGTGCAAATATATTTTTTCACAGAATGTCCTTAAGGTCACATCTAATTCATGATCATGGAGTTGGAAATTCAGACTTGAATCAGATAATTCAAGCCGTCATTTATTATTCTAGTAAAAGCAGTGGTAAAGACAAGGCGGAAAATAAGAAAAATGTTAAGAAAGACCTCGATTTGACTGCAATTAAGAAAGCTTTAACTGTAGAAAATCAAAACTACTCGTCAACTGACGATAACTTTTCTAGTCCAGTCCCGGATATGTGTGACGATACAACTCGGCAGAAGAAAGAGACTAAAGCGATAGCTCTACCTCAAGTCGACATCACGCAGAAGAATTGCGAAAAGATATTCGGTACTCTAATGAAGCAACCCCATCACGTTACCAAGTATATGGATTCCAAAAGATCAAATAAGTGCGTCATTTCAAATTGCAAAGTCCGGTTTCAAGACGTGGACAAGATCACCTACCACATCAGTTGCCACGCCGACTGCGGTTTCAAGTGCCACGAGTGCGGCGAAAAATTTTCATTTTGGAAACCCTTAACCTCGCATTTATGGCGATTGCACAGAATCGACATGGACTTGTACTCTTGTGATAAATGCGAGTATAAAACTTTCAGCCTCGCGAAGTTGAATAACATCCATAAACTTATCCACAGTGAAGTGAGGGGTTATGTGTGTGACGTTTGTAATAAGTCGTTTAAAAATAGCAAACAGCTACGGAACCACAAGATAACGCATAAAAATAAAACGGAAAAGTTGTCGCACGTGTGCGAAGTGTGTTCGAAAAGTTTCACGGATAGAAGACAACTGCGGGTACATATGGACGTGGTGCATAAGAAGATTAGGCCGTATTTGTGTAATTATTGTGGTTATAAAGGTTCGTCGAGGAGTTCGTTGAAGATGCACATCCGTCAACATACAGGTAATACGAGTAGTCTAGTATACAACAGTAAAAATAGGGTATTGCCTCTGAATTCTTGACACACGCACCGATTTTCATTTCACCCCCCTTTACAAAAGTTACATATCCATAATATGTGCTTATTGTTTTTAGGGGGTGAAAACTACCCCTTGTTGCAAAAAACGTAAAAAACCATAGATTTAAGTGTTATGTCAATAGAATAAGCATTCTTTTATGTTTTGAATAATAATTTTTGATTTGTAGCAACATTTCAACCCTTAAAATCTACCCTTTATGAGGAAAAAAAACAAAAATTAGTTTTTGCGGCTCTGAAATGTTTTGACGGAGCAATAATGAAGAATTTAATATTTTTTACTGTTTATGAAATAATACATGAATTATTGCAACGTTTCAACCACCCTTATTGCAAAAAATTTTGTTCACATCTTCATAGCATTTATAATGAATGAAAGACTCATCACTGTTTATAATATTGCTGATGATTCATTGCAGTGTTTCAACTATTAATGAGGAATTGAAGAATTTTTACCTGCTTCAAAACACTCAACGATACACTACTAAATTCAACCAGATTACTTAAAACTCGAAACTTAAATTATGTAATTAGTGAAAGGGAAAATAAAAATTATTTGTGTATTATACAATTATACTTTATTATCAAAAATTAACATATCATCTAAAGAACTATCATCACTGTCGACTTCCTCTGTTTGGTCCGTAATTGGAGGACAATTTTGGCAAGTGTTCCCAAAACATGTTCCACATGTCGCATTACAATGTATTACGTCTCAGAAACTATTGGAATTAAGCCATTTACACCTGACAATTTTCACTAAATAATACAATTCGTTTTTTCACAATAACTTATTTAATTTTTAATATTTTTCATTGCTCTAAAAAGCAATTTGCAGGGAATTGCAAGAGCTACAAATCAACCTTTATAGTTGAAGGGTCTTGAACTCTTCGTTTTCGAGATTTTTAGGTTTTAAGGACTCAAAGAAGGTAGTCCTTACACGCTTAATTTTTGCTCACAGAGAAATTGAAAGAGAGCAAAAATATTATAGAAAAAAAGACCTTTAACTCTTGCATTTTTCACGTATCTTGTTTACTTTTTGAGTTATTTTGAAAAAAAGGAAACTTTTTTTAAATTTAGGCATTCTAACCGGTCAAACTTGCAGAGATTAGTACCTAAATAAAGTCAACTGTACATGGATTACGTTTAGTTTCTATTTTTATGGTTCAGCCATAGATTTTATTGTTGATTTTTTCTCCGAAAAAATTAGATGACCATTTTATTTTCATCATAACTCCGCGAGTTTTTGAGCTACGAAATTTTTTCAAAAAGCATTTTAAAGGTCTTTCCAAGCACTTTAAAGAAGGTTATATTTATTTTCTTCGAAAAATTTGTTCTTTCGCCATTATTTTACGGTAAAAGGTTTGATTTTACTTTCCGAAAAATAAACAATCACCTTTAGAGAGTGATAACTCGGTTATTATTAGTGCTGGCAACTGAAATCGGTTTTTTGGATAGTCAGTTAACCGGTTTCGGATAATTCGGATTTTTACGAAACCCGAAAACCGGTTATTCGATTCTTCAAATAACCGATTATTCGATAATCTATTCAAACATCCGAATAATCGGATTCTTTCTTTATAGCCAATAACTACATAACACCATAATATAGTCTTAGTGTTATATAGTTATTGACACAGGCTACATAGTACATACATATTAGAAGGGTTGAACTATTAAGAGAAATACAGTTTATTTTCATATTTTAAGCTAGGACACAGACACAGACTGATAAAAAAACAGTCACCCACACCCACATACACCAAACGACTAAATCTATTTATATAAATAATAAATTGAAGAATTACACTAACAAGTGCAACTGTTTTAACATTTTAACTACATTAGATTTAACTTTAAAATTTAAAATATGTGAACATCGTATATCTTGTCAGTTTTACAAAGCACCGATTTCCAGATATTCGTTTTTGGGCATTATTCGAGTAACGGGTTATTTGAATAACCGGTTTAGAATATTCGACTATTCGACTAACCGGTTTTATCTGAAATCGGTTTTTATGGAACCCAGTTAACCGGTTTTTGCCAGCACTAGTTATTATTACATCTACGGTAATCAACAAAAATGAATTGATTCCTTATTTCAAAAGCTCTATTTTTGCTTTATATGGGTTTTTCGATAAAACACAAGGTTTTCGAGTTATTTATAAAAAATGGTTGAAAAACATACACTTTTTAGATGAAAAATCAACATTTTCAATTGCAAATAACTCTGAGAATATTAATTTTTGGAAAAAACGTTATGGAGCATTTTTTGCTTAGAATTCATCCCTCTATTGATTTTTGCGCTTAAATTGGGTATCTTCGTTGTCACCCCCATGGTGAAAGCACACATCGGCATGTAACTTTTGTTTCTTGAGCAATTTTCTACTTACTGTTAAAATTTCACGTCAATCGAGGCATGTGTCAAGAATTTGGACCTAAAAACCGTCATATTCTGGGCTATAATGACAATTCATAGCATTTTTTATTTTTTGTCTAAAAGTTGCGTTAAATCATTCCTACATGGCCTTGCTCTGTGTCGGTTCTTATGCGAAACACCCTGTATTTTCTGTTCTTTATAATGTGAACGATTTTCAGTCTTACTTTTAAAAAACCATAAGATTTTGCTTCCAAATTGTATAATCTTAAATCATTATCTCCTATTTGGTTTTTTGCAGGGGAAAAACCATTTTCCTGCGACTCGTGCTCGTATACCACATCGGATCACAATTCGTTGAGGCGGCACAAGCTCCGTCACACTGGCCAGAAGCCCTACAAGTGCACCTACTGTACGTACGCTTGCATCCAAAGCAGTACGTACAAAACCCACTTGAAGACTAAGCATCCCGGGATGGAGAAGGACTTGATGTTTACCTGCCACGAGTGCCAGTTTAGGTCAGTCAATAAGGATATGTTCACGTCGCACTTAATTACCGTACATAAGATCAAACCGCAACCAAACGGTTGAATTAATTTACGTCCTCTGTCATAACCATTGAGAAAACTGCAAACGCAGAACCGATTTTAGATTTATTTTTTGTGCGACGTTTTCGTACGTATTTTTAGGGAAAATTATTTTTAAATTTCAAAAAGATTTATTTCTTTAAACATATTATAGTTGGTACGATTTTTAAAGATAGTAGTTCAAAGAAACAAATAAATAAATAAGAAATATTATGCAAGGTATAAGAAAAAATTCACTGACGTTAATTATTTTTACATCCCAAATAGTAATAATACCAAAAAATTATTTTTAGATATTAATTTTAGTATTGTTAACACAGTATGTGCCATTTTATGGTGCTAAATATTTTTAATGGCGATAAACTAATTTATTATATCCACACATTCGTTACAGTCATTCTCACATTTCATTGAACATAATTTATATATATTTAAAAACTTGTACAAGAAATTACAAGAATACAGTTGGAAATAAGAAAGTTTTACGGTTTTTTCATTATTTTCACTACCATAGCCAGAAATTTTAATTTACAAACCTCGAGGAAGGATCAAGGTAAGAAATAATAATTTTGATTTTTAGATTTTAATTATTTGAATTATTTTAAAGAAATATCACATGCTATTTTTTACATACACAGCTATAAAGTCCTTGCTATTTTTTACTTCTTGGTACCCGTACAACCGCCACCTGAAACTTCCGAAATTTGCCCCAAAGGGCTCAGGGTCTGTATGTCTCCCTTTACCTTTTCCCGGTCCTATTATAAACACCACATTACCTTCGTAAGTATTAATATATTCGAGAAACGCTGGACCGTTATTGAAATAGCAAAACAACAAAGCGTAGTTAGAATTCAGACAGTTTTCTTCCAGGGACTCTTCCTGGTAGTTCAGTTTTATAAATTTAGGATTGGAGTATTTACTTTCCCACCAAGCTTTGTTTATTTCGTAACCAGTGACATCGAAGCCTAAAATCAGTAATTTTTATGTTTAATAGTACACATTTGTTGGATATTCACCTGTGGATTTATTAATAATCCATTCTAATAGTCCACATCCGCACCCGATCGATACAATCCCGTCTAAATTATACTCGTTTAAAACTGTTTTTATAAAATTTAAATTCTTTTCACTGGGCCATACCCACAATAAGTTTAAAGCAGTAGGATCGTCGGAATGTTCGTTAAGTTTCAAGATTTCCTCCCATTTGTTTTCACGATATAACTCTAACACGGTGCTTAAAAATAAGTTTTCCATTTTTCTTTTTTCAACTGATAGAAAGTTACATATACAAACTATTTTTAATCAGTTCTTTGAGCTTTTTTTAGCCCACTGGCATTGAGACGCATAACACTAAGGTTTTGGCTAACGTATAATTAGTTATCAGTGGTGCTTTCAGATTTAAAATTAATGACCTGTTACGACACTAATAGAAAATTCACGATGACTCGTAACAGAAAATGTGTATCATTTCTGTCATTTATAACAATCTGGAAAACCTGGATTTTAATTTAATAATGAAATTTAATAGTTATAAGCATTATTAAGAAAACAATATTCCTATTCATTTGGATTTTGTTCAGAAAAAAAAAGGAAAATTTCTTTTTTTAAAGGCTAAAGTTGAAATTAACTTGTTATTTACAATTCAATTGAAAGAATTGCTGAATGAAAAAATGTTTTTACAGTAACAATTATTTATTTTTAAATTAAACCAAATATGAAAAAATTGATCAAAATTTTGCTAGAGTTAAAAAGTTTCTAAACAAAGTGGGCTAGTGACAAAAAAAATTGGAAGTTATTGTATAGAGGAATAAAAAATATATGTGGTGGTTATAGTTGTTACGATGTCAATTGGAACCTGCAAATCTTAAAGCACAGAACCGTATGCACTTCTGAAATTTCTTCTTATGCTTTGACTATGATGTGTCTCGTAATTTATACTCGAATAGCAATTCGGCGAGTCCGGTATTGGTAAACTAGTCCGCCTGATGTAAAATTGACGGCACGCTGGTCATCAAACCAAACCTGTATTGGTCCACTAGGTCGTAAATAATTTTTTTGTATGGTACAAGGGTTCACTTAGCTTTGCCGCTTTGCCAGTGCCGTGCAGAGCATTGCTTGGCGGGGTATGTTGTTGGTATAATACGTATTATTATTTATTAGTTGATATTATTATTTGTTCTTTGTACTCTTTGAAGCGGAGGATAACGAAATAACTCGGGAAAATCCCCAAATAGTGGAACCGGTTTTTGTCGAAAGTATCGAAACAAACTCAGAGTTTAAAAACAAAAATTTACACGTAAAAGGTCAACATATTATATTAAATATTTATGAATGTTTGAAAATTGAAAATAGTGAACAATGTTATAAAAAAATTAGGAAACGGAATAACGAATTAACTAAGATATCCAAAAAAGGCCAACTTATCGCGTAATTAAAGAAGGATTGATCACGGTACAAACAGGAAACAGAAAAATTAAAAATTAAAGAAAATTGACGATTTTACCAGATGTAATGCGGCGCACAATTTATATGTGTAAAGAAAAAATTCCTACTTTAAACATGATTCGAGATAAATTAAGCGATTATCCTGATTATAAAATTATAAATCTTTAGATATTTTACGACATGCTTTATTACAATGCGGTTTTAAACATAAAAAACTTGACAATCGTATGGTAATTATATGGTAATATAACTCAGAATATAGTAAATCTAGACGAGACAGGGCTAAATCTTCTGGACGTCTATGGATTCCGTAGAATTTATGAGTTAAATGTTTTTATACGGTTCCAATTGAGATCGTAACAACTATATATTTGTTCGGTATCTGATTCTTTTATAGAAAATTATTCTAAATAACGTTGAAACACGTCAATTAAAGACTGAACTGTAACCCATAAACGGTCAAAATCGATAGTCGTTTTCGTGATATTAAGAAACAAAGCAATTTTGGAAATAGGTAAATTATAGGTACTTATTTTGAGTCAAGGAGACTGTGATCTTCCGTTGTACACGTAATTTCCTAGCACCCTGTACATCGCGGATAGGTTGACATTTAATCAAATAAATATTTATCTTGACAAAACTGTATTATTTCAAGTTCACATTGAATGGCACAAATATTTTCTATTTTATAACGGTATAAACTTTTCCAAACTTTTATTCATAAAGAACAGATTAAACACATCGTTGTAAAAGTCTGGATAATAATCACAGGCCCTCTTACAGTCAGGTGTAAAGTTAACTTCTAATATTTTTGGTTGCATTGCGGCATTTTCTGTCCATTCTAACATTAAATCAGCGGCGTAAAGCGCTCTTGACTGGGGATTTTCGGCGATACCCAACGGTGGGGGTTCCAAGGCTCCACACTCCAAAATTTCCCTCAACATTTTTACGATAGACTTTTCTACCGTCGCCCACGGATAGTTACAATACTGTCGTTCCCAATGCTCTTTAAATTCTTCACATTTCATGTGCTTTAGCTGCGTATTCTCGGTATAGTTCATTACAGTAAAATGTTTCTCGTAATTGTCAAATTCGTTCAATTCAAACGGTACGTTTGCGAATCGCAGGAAAAACTCTTTATACACAAAAACCTCTAATGGTTTCACACATTTTAACAAAATAACATACCTTATATCGAATTTCACAAAACCGTTACGTTCCGGACGGTAAAATAAGACGGGATTTGTTATGTACTTCTGTACAATTTTTGGACCCGTCGTAGCGAGCTTCATTATATAATCTAAGTTGTCGGTGATGTGTATGTCTAAACTCCTCGCTAAGTTGCAAGGTTTTACAATCCAATAATTGTCTGGCCCTTCGTCGTGCCTCTGTTGAAAATAACTCACAAAATTAGTAATTTCAGTTAATAAATTATACGTAACGGGTAACCATTTCACAGAATTCTTCCTTCTACACGTTATGCAAAGTAAATCCTTCACAGTCAAAACATACTCGAATGGAAACTGACTAACAAATTTCTCAGGAGACTTACTTAATGTTTCAAAGTCTTTAAAATGTTCAGTAAGCCATAATATATCAGCTTCATCCTCATTTTCAACTATTTTGAACTTGTTATCCGTCAGGAATTCTTTAACTAAACTATACTGAGTGAAAACTTTAAGGACACATCTCGTTTCTTTACTTTCTTTATTTGTAAAATTCGACAAAACCGGCAAACTTTCTTTTACGTGACCAGATAAAAAGTAATCTTCCCCTGGCATCGGTGGATATATACTATAATGTCTAAACGACTTAGGCACCCACGGTAGTAGAAATGCCGATCTTTTTTCAGGATCTGTTATACCTTCTGCGAAATCACGAAATATTAAATCAGCTTCGTCGATATCTTCAATGGGGAACAATAAAGAATAAGTGATTTGTTCATCGCTGTAGTAAAACGGAACGATTCGACAATTTGGATTATCGTTATGTAAAACTGAAGTGCCAATTTCATCCATAATGTACCAAACTGGTAATTTATCCTCTATAGTCGTTGCACTTCCAATCGTATACATATTGTTAAATTTCCACATACAGTTGAAGATGGCGTCCACTAAATCTTCTTTCTGCATCTTATCACTGTCATTTAAATCAAACATCTTGCATAAACGTTCCCTAAGTGAATCGTGAAGCATAAGTGTTTGTTTCGCCTTTTCAACACGATACGTCCATGCATGATCGATGAGATAAATATGTTTGGGATCCAAACGATCAATTTTTGATAAGGCTTGTAGAGCCCAAATAGGTTCGTGGTGCTGTCGTTCTTGATCGTAATCTAGTTTCAAAAGTTGAAATGTATTTCCAGCATTAAAAGATTTGTGTATTAGTTTTTTATACAGAGTATTCCAGAAGTGTTGTGGGATGTTAGATGCAACAAGTTGATCTTTATGTATATTAAGAAAAGCTAATATTTCAGAATCATGGCCCATTTTTAAGTATATCACTAACCATAAGATATATGATAATTAAAGATAACCTTACAAAACACAAGATGAAATAACCTTATTTTACCACAAACCACAACACAGCAATCTGTGCATTGCATGGATGTATGGATTACCAGAGAAAAAGTAATTTGTCTGGGAGCTACATTTTTTTCCCAAATAGAATAGACCTAACCTCCGAGTTAATAATTTCTCCTGAGCTGACGATTTGAAACCAATTTATGGTGACAAATGTTAAGAAAGTAATTAGTATTTAGTCATTATACATCGTACTTAACCTAACCTGACTTTCATAAATTGTTTTTTTCTAAAGTCTCGCGCATACATTGGTTGTAAACCCCGCTTAATAAAAGCAGAGTCCAGATCTATTCTATTTGGGAAAATAACTTGGATTTCAGTTATCATTTTAATCAACAAATAATTTTGTAGGTTTCATTTGATTACTATTTTCGTGTATGCTTTCACTTTATAGAGCGTTTTAACTACAGTAAACAAAACGAGTGTTTTTATTTTTTTTGCAGTTCCATTAATATAGACCTATTATAAAAAATAAGAACTCTTGATTATTATATTTTGTTTTTGTATTACTCGATCCATGGGAGCGCGCGCCATTATTCTATGGCTAGAAATTGGCCTCAATGATTTGGGATCGAGGGGGATTATCCCTCTTTATCCTGCCTCATCTCGTGTAGGCCTGGACAGCCTTCGTAGGTGGGCCCCATCCGTCGTCTACCCCGACCGCAAATGCGGCCGGTGTAGGCGCTTTGTGGGACCTCCTTTTGTCCTGGCTGGGCCCCGCCGGCTAGGGCCCTTTCTTCTGGCGCTCTTCTTGCTTCGCCGGCTCGTCTGTGTAAACCCCGGGGGTAGTGTCATGTTTATGTGTGGTATGGTTGGGTAGGGTAGTGCGGCTATGCAGCCTGGGATGCGCTTTGCTAAGG